TGGTTATATTCCGGGCATACGTGTCTTTCGGGTACGTGTTGCGTCGCTTGACATAATTTTGTAACCTCGTCGCGCGGAATAAACGGAATATTATAATATATTACGTAGTACAATAATAGATAGGTAGGTTTTTTCACTCGGTTCGTTTATATTAAATTCGTTATTGTACGATTGCTACGTAATATTAATTATACGGCGGCGTTTAGGGTTCCGTTCATTGATTGGTATAGATTAGATTATTTAATTTAGGGTTTTTTCATAACGGTTTTTTGTAGTATATTTAAATTAGGGTTTTTTCATAACGGTTTTTGTAGTATATTTAGATTAAGGTTTTTTTGCATAAAGATTTCTGTAGGTTATATTAGAATAATAATTTAATTTAGTCATTTTTCGTTTGGTAGTTTTATGTTACGGTTGATAATTTAACTTGGAGTTTTTTCATTACGGTTGGTTTTTTGTGTGTTTTTTATTTCATTTTTTTTTTAATTCTTATTTCAACGGTTTACTTTTATAGTGTGACTTTTTTTTAAAGTTAGGTTTATCTACCCTCGGTTTTTGATTTTTTTTTCTTTTTACGGCCGTATTAGTAAGCGGTTTTCTAGAAGCTTCGATATTTTCTACCTTCTTTTATACCTTTTTTTTTTGGAAATTTATTTAATTATGGCTAGCAAATATACCGCTAGGATAGGAGGCGTGCTGAGATGGCTCGGCTCAGCGGTTTTAAATATTTCCAGGCCAGATCGTGCGCGGGCCCTTATGGCTAGGTATCAGGTCTTGGATGATCAAATGGCGGATTTATATGCGGCGTACCGTGCGGTATTAGAATTGGGTTTAGAAGCGGACGCCATAAATAAGATCAATGCCGACATTGATCAGGCCGACGACTTGGCAGATCAAATTGTTCAGGCTGTCGAATGTCTCAGGGGGTCAAGCACTGCTGACGCGCGGGTCACTGCGGAGTCGGAGGCGTCACCAGCGCTTATGAGCAGATTGCCGCTGCTCGATTTGCCACGTTTTAACGGGGACCTAGACCAGTGGGTCGCATTTAGTAATTTATTTGAGAGCATAGTTCACGGTCGTACGGATTTGACCCCAGCTCAGAAGCTTGCTTATTTGTTGGCATCGTTGACGGGCGAGGCGAAGGGCCTTGTCCAACATTTAGGCCTTGTTGATGGCAATTATGAAATCGCCCGGGACCTACTCAGCCGCAGGTATCAGAATGTTAGGCGAATAGCAGACAGCCACGTGGCTACCATTCTAGGCCTACCTCAGATTTCGGTTGCGCAGTCGTTGCGCACGCGGCTTCTTAACCCTTTGTTAATAGCGGTTAACGGTCTCAAGGGTTTGGATTTACCTGTGTCCTCGTGGTCATTTTTGTTATTGCATGTTATTTTATCTAAATTACCGCACGACTTACGGAATAGATTTGAACTGGAATACGGCGGGGACTCTGCCACTCATCTTCCCAGTTTTGACAACCTAATTTTATTCCTGGAGGACGAGTGTCGTCGAACGGAGAATGTTCCCCCTCCTTCCCCGGGGCCGACCGTCGGTGCTCGTCGAGTGAGGCCCGGTGATAGTAAATTCCCGGCAGGGTCTCGCCACCGACCACGTTTGATTAATGCAGCGGTGGGACAGACACAGGAATCTCGTTGTAACTATTGTCGGGACACAGGACACGGTGTTACGGGTTGTCCCAAGTTCCGGGAATTACGCTGGCAGGCTCGGCGCAATATTGCTCGTCAGCGGTTTTGGTGTTATGTTTGTCTCGGAAGCCATTTAGTCTCGTCCTGCCAGTTGAGTCGTGCGTGCGGTCAGTGTGGAGGCAAGCACCATCTTTTGCTTTGCGGTAATCGCAATGGCTCGCCTTCAGCTAACTCACAGGAACGGATAGCTTCTCCTGTAGGTGATAGGAACCTAAATATTGATGGCCAATGGGCTGGTGCTAGTCAACGGGTATCGTTTCACCGTGGTGTGCGGTCTCCACCACGGCACCATACAAACCGTAGGCAGCAACGTCGTCCACAATCGGAAGCGTGTACGGGCGGGGGAACTCGGAGCGTCATTTATGCATCGGCAGATGAGCCGCGTGATGTCGGCAATCGCTCGCCGCTCTCTTTTGCTGATTGGCCCCGGTTAGAGCAGCGCTGCCCGCAACGACAACGTCATCGGAGCTTAAGTGACCAGGATCGCACCACACCGCCTTCACGTCCAGGTAGTTATCCTGGGGAGTGTTGACTCGTGCGACATACTCCACCGCAATACTCTCCTGCTCCTCTTACGGTTTTATTACCAACCGCTC